CTGACTCCAGGATGCCGAGGGCAGAGCAGCTCTGCCTCCGGCTTCCTGGAGTCACCCGCTGATCAGTATCAGTAGCAGCTGACTTGGGGACACCTGGGGCAGAGCAACTGGGGTGCTACCAGGTTAGTCCAGTAGCGCCGAGGAGCGGCGCTGTTGGACCAACCTGGCAGCACCCCAGCTGCTCTGCTGCAGACGTCCGGGATTCAGCTACTGCTGAAACTGACCAGCAGCGGCTGAATCGGGGATGCCTGGGGCAGAGCTGGACTATCGGAAGGGGGTGCTATGAGGGGTCTGGGATGGCATCCCCCTCACCCCAGGCCCCTCATAGTCTCCCCTTCTGATAGTCTGGCATATCTGATAATCCGGCACCTCCTGGGTCCTAAAGGTGCCGGATTATCGGAAGTTTACTGTAGCAAGTATTCACTGCTTAGTTTTAAAATACATTTAATTTCCAAAATTCTGTTGCTAAGCATACTCAGTCTACAGTGGGGGGAGAAGGGGAGCCACTCCTAAGATGCTTCAAAAAGTGGTTTTTGAAGTTCATTAAAAGCTGATATTGCCTGAGTAGTTCTGAGTCTACACCATGAGTGGGGAACCTCAGGCCTGGGGGCCGGATGCAGCCTCTGGCTTGCCTGGATCTGACCCCCGAGGTTCATCTTTTCCCCCCAGCACTGGGGAGCCTATGCAGGAACTCCAGTTCCCTGCTGCCTCACTGGAGCACACAAAATCAACTAGGGAAATGTGGGGAATGTCTTTCTCCTTCTCAGTCGGAGGCCACGTCAGTGAGTTTTTTGGTTTGGGGTTTGTGGACTTTTTTCATTTGTGTGTGGCCCCCAATTGATTTTTTCTGTGGGTCAGCCATTCCTGGCCTAGAAAAGGTTCCCCACCCCTGTTCTATGCCCAGTGATGAAAGATTCTTCCTCGAAGGCAATGACATGCATTAAACAAGGCCTTCTTGAAGAACCAGTTTTTGTGTTTGGTGGGTATTAAGCACTGATTACTAAAAACACCTCGAGATCAAGATATTGTTTATAGACAGAGCATAGTATGTCTAACTTAATGAACTTTCCATATTACCAAAGAAAAGCTATGTAGTAGAAACTGTTGACTGTTAAATAAGAGTAAAGGAAATTAGAAAGTCTCTAAATTCATAAGTATGACATTGTATTTGAAGACAATGTATTTATTATTTTATAGCCACATGAATTTCATCAGAAGTAAACTGGTTACAGTTTTGGGATTATAAAAGTCATAATCTCAATGTTTGTAACTGGAATCAAGTATCATGTATGGTCTTTATTTGTGATTACTTGTTAATTTTGTAAAATGACAAAGACATAAGATCAAGGGCATTTTGATAATTACACTTATGAATGAATTAAATTAGTGGAAAAATGAAAAGATTTTATTGGTTTTTACAAATTTTAATCCCTCTAGAACTAAGAGCAGGGATAGGGTCCAGAGTGACCTAGATAGATTAGAGGCTTGGGCCAAAAGAAATCTGATGAGGTTCAACAAGGACAAGTGTAGAGTCCTGCACTTGGGACGGAAGAATCACAAGCATTGTTGCAGGCTGGGGACCGACTGCCTAAGTAGCAGTTCTGCAGAAAAGGATCTGGGGATTACAGTGGATGAGAAGCTGGATAGGAGTCAACAGTGTGACCTGGTAGCCAAGAAGGCTAATGGCATATTAGGTTGCATTAGGAAGCGCATTGCCAGGAGATCTAGAGAAGTGATTATTCCCCTTTATTTTGCTCTGGTGAGGCCACATCTGGAGTATTGTGTCCAGTTCTGGGCCCTCCCACTATAGAAAGGATGTGGACGAATTGGAGAGGGTCCAGCAGAAGGTGACCAAAATGATTAGTGGCCTGGAGCACATGACCTATCAGGAGAGACTGAGGGAGTTGGGTCTGTTTAGTCTGCAGAAGTGAAGAGGGATGTGATAGCAGCCTTCAACTTCCTGAAGGAAGGTTCCAAAGAGGATGGAGAGAGGCTTTTCTCAGTAGTGACAGATGGCAGAACAAGGAGCAGTGGTCTCAAGTTATAGTGGGGGAGGTCTAGGCTGAAAATTAGGAAAAACTGTTTCACTAGGAGGGTGCTGGAATGAGTTACCTAGGGAGGGGGTGGAATCTCCATCCCTAGAGGTTTTTAAGTCTCGGCTTGACAAAGCCCTGGCTGGGTTGATTTAGTTGGGATTGGTCCTGCCTTGGGCAGGGGGGCTGGACTTGATGACGTCCTGAGGTCTCTTCCAGCTCTGTGATTCTATGATCATCGTTTAGGGTTTGTCTCCAACGTAGTGTTGGTTCTAGTTTGTCTAATTTTGAGCATGACCATCCTCATTCAACAATGCTTGAGCAGCAGATAGCTTTAGAGCCCCCTCTTCGTTACTATCTCTAGCATCAACGTTGCTGTGATGGGCCAGTTAAATCAAGGGTACAGAATCACTTAACTCAAGCTAGAGCTTTTGTTTGTAACATGGGTGGGTTAGGAGCAACACTAAATATACCCCGAGTTAATATTTCAGTGAAGATAAGCTGTAGAATGTGAAACACTGGGTTGTAGACATAGGTTGTCAAAATGTTCTGCTTCCGTGTTAATTCTCTCCAAGCGTATAGGAGGAAAATACCCATTCCTATGTTAAGATCTGGCAGAGCTCCTTGAATCATTTTAGTAACCCGGTCCTTTAGCTAGTTTGTGTAAGTGAGAATCACAAACGTTGCAAAGGCTGACGATAACACTCTACAAATACAACTACTCTTCTCGTGGTGCCCCTCCACCATCACCCAGAAAATCAGCTTTGCATTAGTGTTCTGAGTGCATTAAAAATAAGCAGATTTCCCATTTTTAGAATTTGGGGGAGGTGAGGAAGATATGCATGAGTGAATTTTTACCATGTAATGCCTTTCCCCTTGTCTCATTCAATGCCCATTTCCTTCATACAAATCCTTTTGATGGCATTCTAGCAATTTGACTACACCCTTAAAGGCAGGACAATTCAAAATAAAAGCTTTCAGACTGTTCCTGGTTTACTCTGGGCCTCCTTGTAACATCGATAGCTGATTGCCCTAGTTCTTGAGCTTCAGAATAGTTAACCTACTATATATACTCACAAGAAATCTTTTCAACTTTCAGCAGAGATTCTGACTGTAGTTTTGACATATGTAGGTAAAGATCATGGAGTCTATCCATGTTTGTGGTGGTTCAGTTGAAACTGAGCTTGGAGTAATGATGGTGGTTTGTCTGGAAGGCGTTCAGCCTTACGTTAGGCTTGTTTTGAGCAAACTGATTTTGGATATTGTGATGTGTGCCGGTGTATCTGTATATTTAAAAAAAAAAAACCACCTCTTTTCCTGTGGGACAACAGAGTGACGTCATCAAGTCACTCTGTCCCTCCTGCCTCCTCCCGCTCTCCTACCTTGCGCCCGACCTCGCTGCTTCTCCTCACCATTTGGAATTGCTCTTTTAAACCAAGCCCCAACTCCCCTTCCTTTCCCCCCTCCCCCCATGCCACAGCGCTTTCAATGCCAAGTAACGTGGCACAGTAGCCAGCAGATCCCACATCGCAGTCGTGACAGGCTGGGGGGGAGGGTATGGTTCTCGGGACAGCAGCCCGGGAACAGGCACTAGCAGAGGGCCCTTGTGGGGCTCCCCTGCCAGGCTCTTGGGGAGCCGGAATGCGGAGCCTGACTGCTCGGAGTCCAGCTGCCCCCACGGGAGACTCCTCTCCATCCTAGCAGCTGCACTTACCGCAGCGACCTGTCGGCTCCTTTCCTTCTGCTCTCGATGGGCAGGTGGCCCTAGGTTCTGGGGGCAGAGCTGGGGTGGTGAGCAGCACAGGCAGGACTGCGTGGGGGAGAGGTCAAGACAGCGGCCCCTTGCACTACTGCTTTCCCCAACTCAGCGTGCTGCGGTACCCTGGTGCGCCGTATGCAAGCAGCGCTACCTGCACCTCACTGCCCCCCCATGCAGGGAGGCCAGCATCCCTGTCCCTCCCCATCCGGGAGAGGGGAGTGTAAGGTTTGGGGGAGGAGAGAAAGGGTTTGTGGGGGTAGTGTAGACAGACAGACAGGTAGGGCGGGAGGGATCCTGGCACACAGAGAGAGGGAGAAAGGGTCCAGGCTAGTGAGGCAGGAGGAGGACCTGGGGTAAACCGGCCAGGGTGACTGCAGCCTCAGCCTGGTCCTCCCTGGTGGGAGGGGAGTTGGCGAGCACAGCAAGCAGAGGGGCACAGCACCGTTGTGTATATGTGTGCGCGCGCGTGTGTGTGTGTGGGGGGGTTAAATAAGGTCTTTATTAAAATGGGCTTAGTGCACAAAACATTTTACATTTAGTACACTCTGCATTAATGTTGCGGCCAGGGTGACTGCAGCCTCAGCCTGGTCCTCCCTGGTGGGAGGGGAGTTGGCGAGCACAGCAAGCAGAGGGGCACAGCACCGTTGTGTATATGTGTGCGCGCGCGTGTGTGTGTGTGGGGGGGTTAAATAAGGTCTTTATTAAAATGGGCTTAGTGCACAAAACATTTTACATTTAGTACACTCTGCATTAATGTTGAATAGTCAAATCTGTTCAGATCTGCTCCTAAAAAGTGCTCCCTTTCCCAATGTAAGATGTTTTCTTTTCTCCGTCCATTTTAAAAATTTAGGGGGCTGTACCCAAAGGAAATGCCACTAAAGAATACATGGAGAGTTTGCAACTGAAACCAGGGGAAGTGATCTACAAATGTCCAAAGTGCTGTAGTATCAAACCAGAACGTGCACATCATTGCAGGTATAGCATTATTTTCTGTAAAGGTTTGTTGAAAATGCAATTTAAAAAAATGTACATAGGAGTTCATGAACATGGTCTGCAGGTAACTTGCTTTAATAAAAGTTTTGTAGACTTTGTACTACAGAACAGTGTGTATTAGAGATGTAACCGTGCAACCATGTAAATAGGTAACTGATAAGCATGAGCTTATTTGTTACCCAAACTGCTACATGACCACACATGGCTCCCAGAGAGATGCCTGGCCTGGCCTGGCCTGCCCCTGCCACCCCCCATGAGTAACTGTATAACCACTGAAATTTTCAGTGGTTACAGTAACTTACACACATTTTTACATCCCTATTTTAGATGCAGTTGTCATGTTCAACCACTGAAAAGCTGAGCTTAAATATCTGTCTCTATGTAGCAGAGACTTGCAAATGTTTGTATACAGTGTGTGTGTTTATATACACAACTGCATATGGGTAGTGTTTTTAATAGTTCCTCTCTATATAGAATAATGCATATCCAGCTGTGTAAGATATTAGCAGTTTCTGCTTAGCTGAAGGATGAAAATGAATTTTTGGAGCTCTAAAATGCAAATCATATGGAATTGACTGAAAAAAATCATCAGTTGATTTAAATTGTCTGTTTTGTCTCTCTAGCTGTCCTAAGGCTATGGTTGAGAAGGCACTGTTTGTTAGCAGTTTTCCATGGGGCTGAAATCTTGTTCTTACTTTAGATGTAAATTTTGATTTTGTGTATGGAGTAGGGAGGAAAAACTCCAAGTAAATATGTAGTCAGTGTTAAATTATCTAACCACAAGAGGAAAAGGATCTATTTATTTGAGACTTCACACACCTTCTTTACATGAAGTAGTCAGATGCCTTTTATTTTTAAACTTAACAAGGATGTGTCCTATTAGGAATGGTACTTGCGAGGAACAGGGCCTTTGATGCTTTCAATTTAAAATGGTTTTACTTTCCTGCACTTTGGCAAGCTCATGTCAGATGTTTCAGATAAACACAGGATTGTCTAGTCATTACATAGTAGAACAGGAGCCGAAGCATACATCTCCTAACTTGATTCCTAGAAATTTGTGTCTCATGTTCATCTGTAACTGGCTTTTTATTAGACTTAATTTCTGCCTTTGCCTACCTCTTAAATAGACTAGCCAGTTAGCCATTCATAAGACGGGATTTTCAGGTCTTTCCTCCACGTTGGTCTTCTCTCCTGAGCCTCCGGTCTCTCCTCCGTCTCTCTCTCTCCTCCTCCTACTGCCTTTC